AGCCAGTGAAGGGATTGGCAGAGGGGGGGGAGGCAGATGTGGAGCGGTTGGTGAGGTGGATGAGTCTAGCCGCTGAGTTTAGGATCGACTGGAGTGGGGATAGCGTTCGTTTGGGTAGGCCAGTGAGAAGGGAATTGCAATAGTCCAGGCGTGAGATGATGAGGGTGTGTGAGAGTTGTTTGGTGGTGTCTGGGGTGAGGAATGTGCGTATCTTAGGGATGTTGCGGAGGTGGAGCCTGCAATGCACATGAGTTGCAGCGCAACCCATCACACAGTAATGCACCGCTGTGTATTGCAGTGTGCTGCATTGTTATGCAATATTCAAAATTAATAAAAAAAAAAAACAGTAATTTTGTCAAAATGGTATAAAAATGACAAGTTTTAGTGCATTGCCAGAAAACAGTAATTTGTCAAAATGGTATAAAAATGACAAGTTTTAGTGCATTGCCAGCCCATTCATGTATGGAAAAAAAAACATTACTGCACCAGGATGAATGTCTGAATGAACCTTAAATTGCTGGCTCAGAAGAAGATTGGAATTACTGCAGTCAGAAAGCACCAGACCTCCATTTAGGAGGTCTGTCTGAGGAAGTACTGAAGTCTTTGGATCAGATTAAAGTACAACTAATAGCAAAACTATTTTTTGAGTTTTGGATAGAGTGGAGATGGATTAGAACACCTGTCAGGTTTTATTGCTGTCTGTGCCCCTGTTAGGGAGATTCACCCTCTCTATTTATCCTGTTTACCATTATCGTTGAAAGTGAAAGTAGAAGAAAATCTCAAATTTTGGGTTTTCCCTAAGGCTGGCCATACATTATACAATTTTCTTGAGATTTTTGGTTTAGATTTACCAAAAACCATATAATATGAGGTCAAACCTAGCAACACTTTCAATTGTATCCAATTAGGCAGACCCTTGTACTACATAGTTGAAGGTAAATCTAAAGGAAATTATGCAGAAATTGGACAGAAAATTGTATATCGTATGGCCATCCTAATAGAGGAGAAATCTTCCAAAGGGGGTTGCGGGTTCTGGTGAGATTCAGGGATTCTCTCACTTAGGACAGATTTCCCCTCACTTCCTGTTTTGGTATATGACAAGAAGTGATGAGAAATTTCCCCAAGGGGACACAGCTGATGAAAAACTGACGGGTTATAACCCTCCCTTACTCTACCCAAAATGGAAATCACAGTTTTGTCTATAGTTCTACATTAATGGCTCTCATTGCAAAAGAATAGTTCAGTAATGGTAGCCTGCGTATTTTCTTAGCACAGTCTTCCTTTAACAAGTATTCTGTGCACAAATAAATATATATATCAGCTTGATGTAAATAATTATAATCGTGTGTTGCTGCTTTTAAAGGCCTTTTCTCATCATACCATACAACACAGTTTTTCCAAAGTTTTGCTTCTTGGAAAACGTTTGATTATGATAGACCCTTACAAATGGAACGCAAAATATATTTTCAGAATAACTGTATCATGTAGAAGTCCTGAGAATTCTGAAAATAACTTTTAATGGCTATAAAGTATTTAAATGCATAATGTTTCTGACACACTACATAAGTTCAGCACACCCTCCTGTTTGTATGCCTGAGCTAAGGGCAGACGGCTTCTAGGAAGTCAGTGCTACATGAATCAAATGTGATGCTGCTGATTTACGTTTGTACTCGGTGTCCAGTGCATCGTGCTGCAGTCAGCCAGCATTTATGGATTCCAGTTATCCTGAGACTTTTTTTCCATTGCGGCTATGTCCTTTTTAGGCTGCTTTCTCACCAAAGAGTTTTGGAAGCATTTTTGCATTAAAAAAGCACCTGAAAAGCTAAAAAAAAATGCTTCCCTGTGTATGTCTATGTACAGTGCCTTGAAAAAGTGTTCACACCCCTTGACATTTTCCACATTTTGTAATGTTACAACCATAAACTTAAATGTATTTTATTGGGATTTTATGTGATAGATCAACACAAAGTGGCACATAATTGTGAAGTGGAAGGATAATGATAAATGGTTTTCAAATTTGTTTCCAAATATGTGAAAAGTGTGGGGTGCATTTGTATTCATCCTCCGAGTCAATACATTGTAGGACCACCTTTTGCTGCAATTCCAGCTGCAAGTCTTTTTGGGGAAGTCTCTACCAGCTTTGCACATCTAGAGAGGGACATTTTTGCCCATTTTTCTTTGCAAAATATCTCAAGCTCTGGATGGAGAGCATCTGTGAACAGCAATTTTCAAGTCTTGCCACAGATTCTCAATTGGATTTAGGTCTGGACTTTAACTGGGCCCTTCTAACACATAAATATATTTTGATCTAAACCATTCCATTGTAGCTCTGGCTGTATGTTTAGGGTCATTGTCCTGCTGGAAGGTGAACCTCCGGCCCAGTCTCAAGTCTTTTGCAGAGTCTAACAGGTTTTCTTCCAAGATTGCCCTGTATTTGGCTCCATCCATCTTCCCATCAACTTTGACCAGCTTCCCTGCTCTTGCTGAAGAAAAGGATTTCCAGAAAATTATGCTGCCACCACCATGTTTCACGGTGGGGATGGTGTGTTCAGGGTGAAGTGCAGTGTTAGTTTTCCACCACACATAGTGTTTTACTTTTAGGCCAAAATGTTCAATTTTGGTCTCATCTGACCAGAGTGCCTTTTTCCACATTTGCTGTGTCCACTACATGGCTTCTCACAAACTGCAAATGGGACGTCTTATGGCTTTCAACAATGGCTTTCTTCTTGCCACTCTTCCATAAAGTCCAGATTTGTGGAGTACACGACTAATAGTTGTCCTGTGGACAGATTCTCCAACCTGAGCTGTGGATCTCTGCAGCTCATGCAGAGTCACCATGGGCCTCTTGGCTGCTTCTCTGATTAATGCTTGCCTTGCCCGGCCTGTCAGTTTAGGTGGACGGCCATGTCTTGGTAGATTTGCAGTTGTGCCATACTCTTCATTTTCAGATGATGGATTGAACAGTGCTCCGTGAGATGTTCAAAGCTTGGGATAGGTTTTTATAACCTAACCCTGCTTTAAACTTCTCCACAACTTTATCCCTGACCTGTATGGTGTGTTTACTTGGCCTTCATGATGCTGTTTGTTCACTAATGTTCTCTAGCAAACCTCTGAGGGCTTCACAGTACAGCTGTATTTATACTGAGATTAAATTACATGCAGGTGGACTCTATTTACTAATTAGGTGACTTCTGAAGGCAATTGGTTCCACTAGATTTTAGTTAGGGGTATCAGAGTAAAGGGGGCTGAATACAAATGCACGCCACACTTTTCAGATATTTATTTGTAAAAAATGTTGAAAACCATTTATCATTTTCTTTCCACTTCACAATTATGTGCCACTTTGTTTTGGTCTATCACATAAAACACCAATAAAATGCATTTACATTTTTAGTTGTAACATGACAAAATGTGGAAAATTTTAAGGGGTATGAATGCTTTTTCAAAACACTGTATGTTTTCACACTGGGGCGTTGTGCTTCCGTTGCGGTGTAAAAACTCATGTTTGTTCAGTTAAAAAAAAACGCCCCAAAAACACCACTGAGAATCATATTTGATGCAGTTTTTAAGTCATGTGTCCTTTTAAAAACCGCTCAGAAAGTGTTTTTGCAGTGGATCAGTGTGAAAGTATCCTTATGGTCTTGTATGCTGTAAGAAGTTCCTCAACCAGCAGAATGTAGTTTGGTGCTCTGTAGTGGACAACAAAATTCTCAAGTATCCTTGAATGCTTTCCAGGTAATTTTCCCTGGCCCCATTAACTGATCTTTCAACAGCTTGTCATTGATGATGTATCTGATCTGTGGACCCATAGAAATGCCTTCCTTAAAGCGGTTCTTCAGTCGTTTCTTAACAAAAATTAAGTCAGCAGCTAAAAAAGCTATAGCTGCTGACTTTTAATACATAGACACTCACCTGTCCCAGGATCCAGTGCCATCCCCGATTTCTTCTTCAGTCTTCAGTCCCTGGCGTTGGCATGTTAACTGCTGGCAGCCAGCCTTGATTCTCTGTGGCTTCACAGCCAGCTGCCCACTGCATATGCACGAACCATGCCATGCTTTATGAATGGTCTCACAGCCTTCTGGGATCTGTGACATGTCAAAAATAGGTCAGCGCAAAAAAAAAGAAAAAAATTTGTTATAAATATGACGGGGGGGAGAGCAGACCTTCCCCTTTTGGTGAAGCTCCGCTTTAATCTTAGCATCCGTTATTCTTGGGAACATCAGTCTTCGATAGTGAAAACCTTCACTTTCCTTGTTCATTGCTTTCACAAAATATCTGACATTTTAGCTCAAGTGGAAAACTTAAAGCGGAACTTCACTCTTTCAATCAACATTGACTATTTTTAATCCTTATGGTGCTAGCATTCGTAAATAGATAGGAAAGTATACCATATTTACTTAAATCTTTTTTTTTTTTTTTTCTAATTTTTTTCAGTTACTTTCTGGTTTCCATGCCTAGGCAAATGATGGCATACATCCCAGGAGTCTTCAGAGGGAGGGTTCTCAGCTCAGCCTATGCCTCAGTTAAGGGCAGATGGATTCCAGGAAAAAAATTCTACATGAATCATCTGCCCTTACTCAAAACAGCCATGGCCAGAAATGCCAGTGTGTGTTTTTCAAAATGATTTCTCAGCAAAATAAAGCATGGAGACATGGATGGATGGGTGTGTTTGCTTTAAATATTAAAAATGAATTGAATAGCATTTTTGGTTTGTGGTTCTCAGATGCAGTGCAGTTCCACTTTAACATTGAGCATACTATGCAGCAAGTTAAGGCACATCTCCTGATCTTCATAGTTGGCCACTGAAATAGGTTTTTGTTTTTTTTTAAGTCATCTGATTAGCCAGGTGACTGTTTTTTTCAAAATGATTATCAATAACAGAAGCCAGATGACTAACATCCAAGCAATGATCAGCAACAGCATCCTTTGTACTTCTTCTTTTTACAGGTTTCCTTTAAGGTGTGTAATGGCACTAATCCTGCTTGTTCTTTTCTTTGCAGAAATGATGGCTCTTTAGTTTCTACCTTGAAGACATTACTCTTTTTTACCATCTTAATGATCATGCTCCCAATTGGTCTTTACTTCTCCTCCAAGGTTTACGTATTTGAAGGTCAGTATGTTCATTACAATCAGTTTATTATCAGACCCCCCCTCAGGATACTTATTCAAGTCAATGAAACAATGATCACGCTCTATTGAAGTGATACTAAAGCTAAAAACATTTTTACCTTCTGCTTTCCTTGCACTAAGGTAAAAAACATTTTCTATTTCTCTGCCCCCCCCCCCTTCCCTGTGTGACTGGGAAGAGTGGGGAGAATAGACCAGCACTGTACTAAAGCAGCAGCAGGAGCCATTGGCTTCTGCTGCTGTCAATCGAATGCATTGAGGAGGAAGTGGGTGGCGGAGCTACGTCCTGCTGTGTAAGTCTATGGAGCTCAGCTCCATAGACACACAGCTTAAGATCGCAAAGTCACTGTGTGCCTCCATCGCAAACAGCTTGTTATGGAGACGCACTAAGAAGAGGAAGAGCCAGTAGCGCCACCGGGGGACCAGAGAAAAGGAAGATCAGGACCGATCTGTGCAATACCACTGCACAGAGCAGGTGAGTATAACTTGTTAATTAAAAAAATGTTTTTTACTTTAGTAACACAATTTATGAACAGGCATCAAAGAAACTATAAAAGAGATTTGTCGGACACTGTCATTTCATTTGTAATCCTGGTTGGCTGCCTAGCTCTGTCATCCCACATCTGTAACCTTACCAGAGAATATGGGAGTATTGTGGTTCCCTTTTCCACTTTGTCATTTCTTTTTTCTCTTAAGAGTCAGGTTTGTTTGTGTTTGTCTGCAGTGGGATTTCTTTTCTAAATATATTTTTTATAACTTATTCAGGAATATAGATTGCCACATACAATAGAAAAATATTATCATTTATATGCAATTTACACCTTAAAGAATTGTAGTACTAATTTTAAGCGAGGTAACCCTAAACAGAACAAATAACAAGACAATATTAAAGGACTGATTTTTTAAATGTAGCCAAGAAGCCCATAATTTACCCTACTATTGCGAGGTTAGTGTATTGAGGGGGCCCAGAACGTGGACTTATTGTGTGGTTTTTTTGGGGGGTTTTTGTGAAAAGGTAAACATGTCCTTTTTAAATGTCCAATCAAGCACCCAGGTAAGGAATGCTGGTATAAGATTTGTGGAATGAGGGCTGTTTGTAACCTTTAGCAAAATGTGCTTAATATTCAATGGAATAATTGTAAAGTCAAAAGTAGCTTAAGAAGTGCATTCATTTTTATAATAATGCATGCTCTACAGTTTGGTTTGGTCTGTTTTTTATTTTGACACAAATACGTGTTTAAGCCTAGTGGGTCAGGTGAATGCTATGTGAAAATTTCCAAATAAATTACAATGAAAGTCTAATCTCCTGCATCACTCAAAGGGTGCCTTTATGGATTTCAGTAAGTTAATTTTTAAACAAGAAACTTCACAAAAGTTGTGCAACTCTTGCAGTGCTAGTGTCTACAAGAAGCTTTAAAGTGATTGTGATGGCTGATTTATTTTTTTTTTTCAGTAAAATAAAAAAAGACGTTACACTTACCTGCTCTGTGCAATGCACAGATGGGTCCCTTATCACCTCTCTGGCATCTCCCACCGGTGCTGTCTTCTTGTTCCATGGGTGCCTTCTTCCAGCGGTGCTAAGGGGGCACCTGTGCAGATGTGCTCCCAGTCCGGGCTGTGTGCATCTATAGATGCACACAGCACTGCTCAGCACCACCCCCTTTCACTCTTCACAGGATTTTGATTGAAAGGAGCAGGAGTCTATGGCTCCTGTGTTGCCTGGGTCTCTTGTGAAACCAGGAAAAGAGAAGAGCAGTGCTGCAGCCAGGACAGCATTGGATCGTAAGAGGAGGCAGGTAAGTATAGGGATCGGGGGATTTAGAACAAGTAGTGGGAGGGTTTTTTTTACATTAATGCATAGAATGCATTAAGGTAAAAAATAATTTGAAGGACTTCTGTACTCTGTATTATCAAAGAAAATGTTTTTAATAAAAATGTATTAAAGTCAAAATAAAAAAAATTGACTTTTGAACCACTTTAACTTATGGGTCCCCTGCAGGTCAGATCTCTCTCTACTTCCATCTTACCACAGCTTTAGCCATAATGTGTACTGTAACAGAGAACATGAAACAGGAAGAGTATTCTTCTCATTGTCACACTTTTTCCTGGTCTTTGAGTCAGTGACTTGTCAGTAAAAGATGTCTCAAACTGTGGTGTTATGCAGTGATTGCTTTGGACACAGTTACAGTATATCTGTGAACCTTACGTGTGAGTGCTTTTCTTTGTGAATTTCAACACAATCCATTTGTGCCCAGCTCCAAGAATTTTAAAATTCACCCTTGCAATGTGGCCAGCCTGTACTGCAGGGGTTAAAAGCTTGGTATGTCTAGGGGTACGTGAATAAGGCCTAAACAATGACCTTATTCCTCACTTTAGCAGGGTCCCTCCAGTGCTGAGACTGATCCTCTACTGCCTCCTCTGTAAGCTGTGATTGGCTCTGGTCACACTCCAGCCTCCTCAGTGTACAATACGGGGTTATTTGCCTCTGTATTGTACATAATGATACTGAGTCCCCACCAGGGACAGACTGACAACCCATAGGGCCCCGGGCAATAGGGGATCATGGGGCCCCTGTGTCCTTGCCCAAACACAAAAAATCCTATGAAAAAGGTACCAGGGGCATCTCATGGGGCCCCCTACTTGACCCCAGGCCCTCGGGCAGTGCCCAGGTTTCCAAATGGTCAGTCCACCCCTGGTCCCTACCCACAGATCGGAGCTTCTGGCAAAAAAATGAGAGTGCCAGAATGGGGAAACGGGTATGTAATATAGCCAAGCACTGTAACCCTAGGGAGAACAAGATCTTAACCCTTGCATTTATGGGGGCCGCACAGCATAGGTGGATTTTTTTTTAAAACTCCCGGAAGTAGGCTTTAAATCTGCTATGAGAGAAACACAAGGGCTGTTATGATGTGCCTCCTTTTGGAAAATGCAAGTTTTCAAAACTGGCAATCAAAAACTGGATATTAATGGAGAGAAGCAGTTAATTGATTGTATATACAAAAGTCTGCATCTGGTTGTAATTACATGTGCTAATATCTTCCTACTTTGTTTTATAGGTGCATATGGTATGTCTAACAGGGACAGCTATTTCTATGCTGCAATAGTGGCTGTCATTGCTGTGCATGCGGTTTTGGCCCTATTTATATATGTGGCATGGAATGAAGGCTCCAAACAGTGGCGTGAAGGAAAGCAAGACTAAACACTGCTGGTATAGCTCCGCAAATGGACTTTGGATGTTCTGAGACAGAGTATATCTCATGTAATTTTGAAATAATAATTGTTTTTTGATTTGCAAGTTCTTTAATAGAAAAGGCTGTGATTTTCTTGGAAACCTATTTATTTAGGTGTACATGCTGCATTTCAAGTACTTTTTTGTTTTTCATTTTCTGAAGATATGCTTCTCAAACTACAGCAAATTGTATTGTCCCAGACAATTTAAATTGAGGATTTGATTTTTTTTTCTACTGTTTTTTGTAATGTCTTTTGTTTGTACTCTTTTGCCCTTTTAAGGTTTATTTAGGTATCATGGAGCAGTTTTCAAATCTTAACATGATTTAGGACTTCCTCAGTCACTGTATGATATGTTCTTTCCAGGTCATCTGGTAAATGTAGTATGGTTGTAGATAAATGAATTGTTCTTCACTGTTTGAGTGGGATGCATTCCAGCCCTTTTACAGCTTAAAGTGCTTGTAAAGCTTTTTATTTATTTTGTTTTTAACAAACATGTTATACTTACCTGCTCTGTACTGTGGTTTTGCACAGAGCGCTGTTCTCTTCTCAGTAGGCCCCCATAAGAGGCCCCTTTCTATGGGGATCCACCTACTGGCTTGCTCCTGAGCCACACTGCCTGTGTCCACAGACACATAGAGCGCAGCTCAGCCCCACTATCTGCTCTCAGAATTGAATTGGTTTTGACAGGTACCTGCTCCCACTTCCATTCAGATCGCCTAGGCAATCAGAGCAGAAGTTCTCCTTCCCTGCAGTCTTCTGGGACATGTTACAGGTCCCAGAAGCCTGAGGGACCATTCACAGTACGCTGCACATGCATATTGGGCACCCGGCTGTGAAGCTGTCACAGCTGGGTTCCCACAGTTAAGATGCCAAGGACTGAAGAAGGTCCCCAGCACCCCCTCAGGTGAGCACAGCAATGGAACCTGCTACAGGTAACTGTCTGCTTATTAAAAGTCAGCAGCTACAGTTTTTTTGTAGCTGCTGATTTTTAATTTTCAGAAAACCAACTGAAGCTCCTCTTTAAGGTTAAAAAAAATGTTCAGCCTTTACAATTACGTTTATGCGTATCAAAATTTGCACTACACTATATGTGCATGGTGGAGTATTCAATATAGCAAAACCAACTATCTGTGATGGACTTTCAGTGCTGAAACATTATGGGAATTTCTTTTTACCAACTCTGTCCAGACTTCCGATTTATTCTTCTACTTTTAGAGGGTTGGACTGATTTTGTCTAAAGCTGAAAACCCATTTTAAAGCAGTTGATTGATAAAAGCTTCTAGTGCTTATCTGTATGATTACAATGTGTGCTGTAAGAAATTCATAAATTAGCATTTTCCATGTTATGTACCCTGTATTTGTCAGTGTTTCAATATATGTTTTAACCCATGTTTGAAAGAAATTGGTTTCTTTAACTAGATAATAATAGGAGGGGTATTAAAGTCAAGCCAGGACTTTTGAGTTTATATAATAAAAGACCACATTTCAAGGAGTGGAAACTGCTTTTATTTTTTTACATACTCCCCTGCTACATTTATACTTATCCCAGCATTTAACTAATTCCTGAAAAGCTTTGCATAGAAAAATTTGTCCGTATGCCTGAACCTTCCTAGGGCAGCCTTCTTCGCTTTGTCATCAGTGCTGAAATTCGTCTCTTGTGCAATTTTACAACAGGTTATGTGTTGATTGTCCAGAATTAGGCATTCCACGCACTGAATGTTCACAGGAATGACTGCTGGGAACCACCATGGCTGGGGTTGCCACTGACGGATACATTGCCATCTTTGAAACGTTTACACTATTCAAATGTCTTACTGTGGCTAAGTGTCTAATCATCGTACTGTGCTTGGAGTTTTCTGTAAATATCCGTGGGTTTTAAGCCTTTGCTCACAAGAAACTTCATCACCACACGCTGTTCCTTGCACGCACTAACACTGTTGTCTGCCATCTTGATTAAAGGTCTTTGGACTGGCCCGTAACATGTGCACCGCCTGTCCATAATAGGACACACTCGCAACTCACTACTGCGTGAAGTACCGCCATACTACCACCCCTTTTCTATACCTGTAAAATTTAAAGTCCTGGTTTGACTCGACTGCCTGTCGTATTTAAAATAATGGATAACTAACTGTTGTGAGATACAGTTGGCTTCCCTGTGGTACTTGGTCTATTATGCCAATATATCGATGTAATAGCTTGCGTTGCTCACATTAACTTGTGTTAGTTTGATGTATATTTACCCCATGTGGCTCTGTTTATTTGGTGACAACATTGCTCAAAACAATTTTAAGTTTGCTGGAAACTTTGGTGAATGTTTGATGCCTGATTTCTGATGATGGTCATTTGTACTGTATTTGTTTTGGCTCCTACAATAGACTGTTCATTAACTTGTAGGCTATGTGACACTGTGTCATGCGGGTCTTTTTATTTAAACCATATATTTAGGCTTTTGTTAAGTAAAGCTGATCATGCACAACTCAAATTCTGATCAACTCCTCCTGAATTGGCCCAAATAGGAGCCTAAGGTAGCCCTGTCGACGCCACACAGCTCCACAAAAATTGACTTTCAAATTGAAGGAACCCAGTAGAGCATTGACTGCAGCCATTCCGATACAGTCCTTGTGCTGGCATTCTGACAGCAGTAGGTTCTATGGCTGTCAGAATACAATAGCTGGTAGGGTAGATTTCCCCCAACCATTCATGCTATTTCACATAGATCAGGGAATCAATTGATTTTTCTTGTTCGGCCCATAGGGATAAGCAAGAATTATGTTTGGCTGGCCTAAGGCATACCAGTAATCTACATCAACTGATTAGAATTCACCAGCCATCTGCTTGGTGCTGTTTTGTAAAAAAAAATTGTTTAATTAATTGCAAAGGTTCACTGCTTAATAAACATTGTTTCAAATAATCCTAATAAAGTTTTAAAATATAAAGGTTGAATGTAGTAAGTGATCCCTATGTCCTTATTCAAGTTTTTTTGGTGCTAAGGGTAGTATTAGTAGGTTAGTGTGTCAGGGTGTTTGCTAGAGCTTTCTCCACTCTTTTCAGCAAAAATTTGCAGTATTGGTGACATCGGAGGAATATAAATAAATGAAAATGTAGTGTATCATGTACCATATTTTTCGCTCCATAAGACGCACCTGACCATAAGACGCACCTAGATTTTAGAGGAGGAAAACAGGAAAAAAATATTCTGAATCAATGGACTGCGGACACAGTAAAGGAGATGACTAGAGACTGCGGACACAGTACAGAAGATGACCAGAGACTGTGGACACAGTACAGGAGATGACCAGAGACTGTGGACACAGTACAGGAGATGACCAGAGACTGCGGACACAGTACATGAGATGACCAGAGACTGCGGACACAGTACATGAGATGACCAGAGACTGCGGACACAGTACAGGGGATGACCAGATACTGCGGACACAGTACAGGAGATGACCAGAGACTGCGGACACAGTACAGGGGATGACCAGAGACTGCGGACACAGTACAGGGGATGACCAGAGACTGCGGACACAGTACAGGGGATGACCAGAGACTGCGGACACAGTACAGGGGATGACCAGAGACTGCGGACATACTACAAAGTGTGGCGCTTCTCGCGCATGTGCAGTGGGCACCCGGCTGTGAAGCCGCAAGCTCTCACAGCCGGGTGCCCATGCCGGGGAGAGAAGACTGAGGACACCGCTGGACCGAGGAACAGGTAGGACCGCTAGAGGCCTGCAGAGAAGAGCCGAGTGGCCGGCCCGGTATTCTAACACGGGGGGGAATACCAGGCCGGCCGCTCCATATTTGCTCCATAAAACGCACAGACATTTTCCCCCATTTTTGGGGGTGAAAAAAGTGCGTCTTATGGAGTGAAAAATACGGTATTCCATGTTAACAAAAAAGACTATTTTCTCAAATCGTCAACTGTAGGCAACCTATCCAAAACCAGGCACTCCATTTTATAATGTATTTAATAACATTCCATTAGTAAAATTGCGCTCAGTTGGTTTTAATTCAGATCTTAAGTCACTGCTGGTTATCCACAGATGCTTTCCCCATTTATATAATGAAAAAATAGCTTTATTAAGAAAATAAATAAGGCACAAGTGAAGGTGGTGTCCAATGAAATCCGTATTTGGTAATTATGGGAAACTAATCCACTTGGTTTGTCATTTCTAGTTTTGAAAAGGCACACTGTAAAAGTAAAGCCTGGCCATACACTATTAGATCTAAACAGTGCAGATTGACAAATCTCCCACTGCGTCTGTCAAAATACTGAAACAGCGGCTGAATCTGATTATATGCAACTGCTGTTTACCCAGCAGTATTTTTCAGTCAAGAAATGGCAGACAGGAAGTAGCCAACTGAGCAAATTCGTACAGCACATGGCCAGCCCAACTTTATGGGTAGATAATCAGTTTAAGAAATGATCCTAATTAGATAAAACATATTATGTTACACATGCATTGTCGGTTTGCCTTTAATAGTTTTGTCCCTACCTCACTCTGTAGCTAGTCTCCCCCCCCCTTCTTCATGCTTTACCCTCCATTTACTACATGTACTGTATTCTGCTGGTTTTCGACCTATCTGCTATGTATTTGTTATGATCTGCATGATTTTGGGTTAAAGCTTTCTATGATCTGCAAGATGTCATTTGGATTGAGGCACTGTCTGTCAAGCTACTGAGGGTGTAAATTAAACTATCTCACAAGAGCTATATCAGTGATAAAGATAACACTTTCAGTGTTTAGGTTGTGGAAGCAGAGCGATATCTATCCACTTAATAGAAAAAAAGTGCCCTAATTTGTTTATGCCTCATAGTGCACATACTTTGACATTTATTTGGTTATTGCAGTGTGCTTCTCAGCCCAGTTTGTGTTTAGAGTGCTTTTCCAGCATGAATAACATTTTTAAATGTTCGAACATCATACCCTGTTTTCTTTCATGGACTATTTGTACAAGTGTTTCCTCTAAGGCTCAGTTCACACTAGCCGACTCAAAAGTTGTGTGGTTTTTCAGTGCAACTTCGGAGTCAGACTTTTATATGACTTTAAAGTGACTTTGATACAACCTTTACACTCTCTGACACTGAAGCTGTATCAAAGTAGTGCAAGAAACATTTCTGAAGTTGCAGTGACTTCAGTAGTATCAATTTGAATGGCTCTCCTAGAGATACCTGTGGCTTTTCACATATCCTGTGACTTTGGGTCTCACAAGTTGCAAGGCCAGAAGGGTGGGGTCACCAGTGGGATTCTGTTTGTGCTGCAGGATCAAGAGTTAAATAAATTTTCGATTTTCTGCTGAACAAAGTATCCAAAACAAAGAGCAAAGCCGAGAAATATCTATTCATAGTGCATTTATTGCATATTTTTTTGTCTGGTATGAAGTTCTCTTTTAAATCTGTAATACTGCTGTAGCAAGTGGTTTTTATGTGATATGTAAGTAAACTTGGAAATTATCATTTCTGATTCTAAAGAGTCACTGAATTATTCATAAATAAACAACATTCAGATAACAAGACCTTCCTTTCTGTGTCCCATATGGAGCAGAACCACGGGCAAATTACAGATATGGCAGAATCGCTGATATTCATGCAAATACGTTTTTGATGGTTCACACATTTGAAATGGGGAAGTAATGAATTTGTAGAACTAAAGGTCACAGTGAGTGATATGTGACAGCTTAGTCTTTCCAGTCTTTTTCACAGATGTGCCCTGGATAGGTGTCCAACATCCAAGAGAAAATGAAATTTGCAAGTCAGAGGCATTGGCACAGTATGCTTTCAGCTGTGACAAAAGATCCAACCTGTTCTCATACCTTTTGGCAGGGTAGAAGGTCAAACCCTGATTCACACAGTTCTTGTTTTCACTATTGCTTTTAAAACTCTGCACCCAGTGCCAGTACTCTTATCATAAAGGAAAGCTTGTTACAATGGATTTCAAGAAAAACTCAAAATCTATTTAGGATAGAACTCTTCGCCTCCCCCTGCTTTCTAGTGTTGTCAGGACAGACTGCTCCAGTTATGATGTATACTTACAGTGCAACCTACTGATAAAACCTGAGATTGCAGAACATCCATTAAAGGACAAACTATCAGGTCGGGGCCAGTTTTATTTTAAATTGTTAAAGTGGTTTATTTTTTAATGTAATATTTATATAAATATTTATTTTACAAGCAAAATGTAATGCTTGGTGCAGCCATAATACTGGTATCACAAAGCATAATGGATGTTCTAGAGCAAGGTCATAGTTTGCTTTCAAATTTCTTCTCTCCAATTGATAATTCTGCACAGACCCAGGTTATTTGCCCTGGATAAGAGCTTTAAAGAGGAAGTATCATTACAAATCCTTTTTAAATCAACTCCCCTCTAGGGGATCTGGTGTACATCACATGTGACCCCATTCTAATCAATGCTATCCTTGCTGAGCAGCATGGTAGGACAACTTAAAGTCACCCCCTCCCCCTGTAATTGACATGTCTAGTCTCGACCAGCAAGTACAGCTAGAGAAGAGTACTCCTATTCACTACTGCAGGGGGAAGGGGAACTGTCAGTTCAAGGCTTTTGTAAAGTCCTTTCTGCCTGTGTTGAAAAAAAAAACAAATGCTGGGACTTGTTGTTCTTCACAGTGCTGTTCATGTGACTGCCAGAGAAAGTAGAGGGTTAATACCAGAGCTGGGGGTGAATTCAATGACTGTGTGCAGCTGCCCTACAGTGTGGGGGGGAGACATTACTTTACATTTGAAACTCACAGCAGACAGAGGTGCTGGGGCAGGGACTCAATGCTCATTATACCCCCCCCCCATGGGAACTCCTCCTGAGTCACGCCTCTGATGCATTTTGCTCTACCCACCTGGAGGCTCTATGACTAAGCCCTATGGACAGAACAAAATGCATCAGATGTGTGTCTTACGAGGAGTTCAAGGCTGAGGTAGTTCACATTTCTCTCCATACATCGAGCTAGTGGTGTGCGGTGTCTCTTCCCGTCATGCTTCAACGCTTTGTGGATCAAGCAAAAGACAGCCAGCAATGTACTCTGGTCAAATACGCCATGCATTTATAAGGTGACATACTATGGCAGCCCTCACCCAAGAGGACAACTATGTAAAAAAATTTCACAATCTTTACTTTACATCAACAGTAGTTTCAGGACATCAGTGTATACATTCCCATTAAATAATATGTAGAATACCATAAAAATATCCAGAGATGTAAAATCCCTCTCTCCCCCTATTAGTTACCACCAGTCATCGCATGAAGACCGAAAAAAATTGCCTGCAGGGGAAAGGAAAAACCATTAGGACAAATCAGGCCCAGAATGCATTCAGAGCATCGTGCCTGTAGGGGAGGTAAAAGCCACAATAAATAACGGGATAAAAAGAAAACTGAAAAAATAGGCCACGAGGAAGTTCGTGAAGATGGGTGCTGAATTATACTTCTAGATCTGTAAAAATCAATCCAAGTTATAAGGCACTGCAGCCAGGTAAATGACATTTAGGAGCAGAGGAATGGAGACTGAAAGTTTTGAAATTAAGAAAATTAAAATGGAGACTAAGCAGCTTAAACATGATGCAGAATAAACTTTGTTTACAAGGATTGCCACTTGCTTGGTATTTTACCAATTGAAATGATTTAGTGACCCATGTTATTATTAAAAAAGAGATGGAGAGGCCATGAATATTTTCCAGTAACATGGCAGCCTTCTTGTTTGCCATTTAAGTTGAATTGATTTAACTGTTAGGTACCTAAACATATGCTAATGATAAAGATTAATTATTATGGTGTTAGTGGATGTGAAGAGACTGGTCTCAGGTGATACAGAGAGATGCAACAAATCCTCCTACATAAGTTGTACCTGTTTATCTACAGTCTTCTCTACATCTGTTCAAAGACCAGAATTTATAATGCTTGTCTGAGCTGTCAGAAAAAAGGGAGCAGAGAGCTGATGTTGCACTCTGCAGAGCTCACTGAGGAGAGCTCTGAGAGGGGATTGGAGGGGGCACTTTTCATTTACACCGCTTACAGGAACAGAGTTGAAGATGTCAATCTTCTGGAGGTCCCTCCCCTGTCACCTTATTTCTCTTGGTGTCAGGAAGACTCATCAGAAGTGACTCCTGCAGAGGAACAAGGCAACAGACAGAAATTACACTTAGTGCTCTCAATTGAGACAAGCGCACACTATAGAGGGATATGCTTTGTTCATATTTCATGTCTGAGGTTTACAACCACTTCAACCTCCAATTATTTTTTGTATAATTCATTTTGGCATTAAACCTGGAACTGACAAACTGCCATCATGCAGTGTTTAATAAAGCAGTCTTTTTATTAGCATGCTCAGACTGGCTGAACTATAAAAGAACAATGACTCAGAATGACTATTTACGAGACATTTCTTTGGCAAACACCATATTGTAGGCCATTCTGCATTGTTTGATCTTGTGATAATGTAGATGTTATAAATAGACCTTGCCCCTCTGTGTGTTATTTTGTAAGGATTTCTGATGCTATGGTTTTATCTGCCTCAGACATGTATATTTCTTTCCAATGATAGCGCATTTTTATTCGATGTTGGAAATTGAAGAAAAATTTAAATACAGATGTATACCCTTTTTAAATGTAAATTTGTATTTATTTTTTTCGTAATGGGTAGAAAATGCTTATATAACAATACAAAAATATGCTTTTTGTAGCCTTGGCAATGAGTCCAATTAAAATGCCAGTGCAAAATGATCTTGTGATAATGTAGATGTTAGAAATTCACCTCACCCCTCTGTGTGTTGTTTATTTTTTTTTTTT